ACTCTTGGAAAAGAGGGCAAAGTTGGGGGCCCTCCTACTCAGATCCCTGGATGTTTTTCCCAGACGTCGGTAAGAGTGGGACCAGCTTCCATGAGAGCCTACTCATAATATTGTTTCAGATTTGATTTTTGATCTATATCGGCTTAGTATATTGTTCATGGAAGGAGGTCCATTATCTCCTCGTAATACCAAATGTGGAGTGGTCCCATCCTGTTTCTTTGGTTGAGTACAGTGTTCCACATCCTCTAGATAATTCTGTCGGCTCCTTGCCTGCTTGGTTGTGAAGTGAGGATGAATGTTTCATAATTCCAGACTAGATGGGTTCTGTTCCTTTGATTAAGTAAGGCATACATGATTTCATCATTCTGAGCCTGGGCTGTTGCTTTTCAGACTTCTTCAGGTGGAGGAGAAAGTTTGTCTGCTTCAATGTTGCTTACTTTCTCGTCATGATTCTGATGGTTCGGAATGCATCACTATGGCAACAGGTTGGGATCAAATCAAATGTATATCTTTATATAATGTTGCGGTCAAATTGCCTTAGCCACCAACAGGGGGTTATAGGGACCATGACCTCTTAATCGAAACCCCGAGTTGTGGAACCTTGGTTTTCTGGTTGGGGCTGGCCTATAGCAATTACTCGTGCTATTCCACCCTTGATACCAGTGTTAAGTTTTGGGTGAAGAGCATACCTGTTCTGGATGTAGTGCAGTTTTCCATCTTGGGTACCACTCTTATCTTGGTACACCTCTGTTCTATACAGATGCTTTCTGTATGAAAGATGCCCTCACTGGCCCCTCCACCTTCTCAATGTGGAATTTTAGCTATAAGTGACAGTGAAGGTGTGTTTTGGAAGTTAACATTTTCCTAAACTTAAAAATGTATTTCCAATAATACTTATCTCCGCTGACATACTCTTGCCCTTCCTCCCCACTAAAAGCAGGTGTTAGACACTAGGAGGGTATCAGTCTCTAAAAAGTGAGAAAATTATCTGAATTAGGTGCTTATATACAGTACCAGGTTAGAAGGCGCATTGACATAGGTGGAGAGTGTCACGAGATAAATATTGCCAAGGGCAATTAAGTGGGGTATAAATAACTGGAGCAAGCGAGAAACAGTCCGACTAATGCTTAGATGGGCAAAGATTGAAACCCTGGCAGTCGAGTAATAGCTATAAATGTCAGCAGAGGTAAGTATTATTGGAAATACATTTTCAATTTAGAAAAATGTTAACTTAGAAGAAATGCAGCATAACATATATTACCATGTCTTTGGACAGCAAAAGTTCAGTCTATTAGAACAAATTGGTTACAAGTTAGAAGCTTTAGTGCCAAAAGTAACTAAAATTTAACTCTTCTAGTCATCTGTGAATGAAAGAAGAAATACAACAACATGATTAAGGATTGGACCAACAAACCTTATTGTAGTACTTTTACCTAATATGTGATATCATTAATCTAACAACTATAAGTTATTTCAGTAGAAGTTAAATGATTATATGAATATTATATAAAGTGGAATTAGATTACGGGTGTGCATTTACATATTACATACTCATTCTGCAAATATACTAAACACTAGCATATATTTTCTTCATATTCACTCCTGTATCAAAGTGGTTTCAAACTAAGCAGGGCACATGTAATTCTAACTTATGCAACATTTTATAATAATCCATTGTGACTTAAGATAACTTTAGACTATTACAGTACAGACAGGAAAAAAAATGTACAAGAAATACATATAAATGCATGAGAGGTAGCATTTGGTTCAACAAAAGGTACATATTTGCAAGCCAAGCATGTAAGTTTTTACCCGTAACCAGTGGCAGTAGCACTAGTACAGTTTAGAAAAAAGCCTCAAAAGGGGAAATGTTAGACTCCCTGTTTGTTATAACCACAAGTTATAGGATCGTGTTTTATGATAAAACTACATTCTATAAGTCACAGTAAATAACTGGTATTAAATGAGTATTTCAGCTTAACAAAACATCTTAGACTGATTATCATAAATATTTGTAGCTAAATTAAAATTTGTTAGGTAAAGTATGTCATTCAAGCTGATAATATTACAGAAAGTCAAATGTTATGTTTCATTTATATTAAAATTTCACTCAGTAAAACTACATGAATATATTTAAAATCAAACAGTATGTTAGAACTACTGAAAGTGTCACTGTCAACCCCACTGTGTGTTTCAACCATATCTGGACCAGTAAGAGTACCTTTTAGGTTTTTCAATGCACTTCTGCATATCAGATTTCTAAATTGAAGTAAAATTAGTAATTCTAACTTTTTCAACAATTTTTACTCAAAAGTATTTTAGAATTAATATTTTGTCATTTGTGACTTTTATATAGTGTAATTTGCAAAGAAAAAACTCAAACTTACATTTCTGTACAGGTCTGAGGAGTCTCACCTGTAAACAACGCATTTATCAGTATTTTAAATTATTTTGCCCATCCCAAGGCATAGGTTTATATTTGCTAAGAAACTATAATCCCTTCTGACTATAATTAATTCTCAAGGATTTGTTTCTCAAATGAGCCTTCCAGTGGCTCAGTGATATTTCTGCAGACTGACAACTCTTCTCATATGATTTTCCTTCTAATTTTCTTAGTACAGCTTTTTGTTCCCACCCATTTATGACGGTATATGATGTGAACCACTACTAATAAGTTCAGCTTTGAAAATTTCTACAGACTAAAGTTCAGATACCATTGATTAGAAAACTTATAAACCATTTACGTATGATATGAAAAGTGATTTATGGTTTCTTGAGAAAGTGACTATATGTAGCTCCTTCAGAGAAGACCAATGGAATTTACTGAAAAGTTTAGAAGATTTGAGAAACAAACCACAAATATGGGAGTTTTTTGTTTCATTAGATGTTCTTTTCATTCCTGAAAATGTTTTTGTGTTTAACTATGTTTTTTTGAAACCTACAGAAGTTTTATTTTACAATAATACATTAGGTAAGCCTAGTTAGTTTTAGATAGTACAGTAGGTGATGGCAAAGTACTCTGGTGACTTAAATCTTTACTTATAGATAAATGAAATATTATCTATTGAAAAGAAATTACATTTAATAGAAATTGATCTCGACCAAATATATTGTTAACAAAAATATTATTGTTACCTAGCCTGATCTAATACTGTTGCAACAGGTTAGTCATAGGTTGATGATAAATCTTTGTCAAAGTTCATTGTGTTTAAATTCGATGACAAGGAACCCACTTTGAGACTAATAATGGC